GTCGCGGGCAAAAGCTAGTTTAGTATAAAGTCAACAAATTTTCGGCATGCCAAAAGGTACCTTCTTCATCATCTTAATTATAATTCAGATGATAAATCCACTTCGAACTTAGTTCTTGCAAAAATATATTGAATTCAATTACCTCCTGATGTGTCTCCATTATAGGAGACACTGTTAGTAAACAATTCAATTTATCTTTATCGTTAAATTTATTGCTTTCATCTCCATGGGTATTGTTTTTACCATTCTTTTTCTTCTTTGAACAAAACTTTTTGGTTTTGTTTTATTTTTATTTTTTCTGTGCCTGCTATTCTATAAATGTATTGAATGAAACGTAGACAAAATGACTAAGCACAAACATTCAGGTTTTTCAGGCAGGTCATATTAGACTCCAAATCTCCATACCTAGTTTCCACAGATGTGGAGTCTAGGAATTAACAAGTGAATATAAACCCCTCTAGTTTGTTGATTGGAGCTCCAAGAGTACATTTCAAGTTTATTGAAATATTATTCAAAATTTAAGCGATCTAGCATTATAAAGCACTGTTAAGTACTTTTGTTTTCCCGTGACTGAGCTCGCGTAAATAAATAATAACCTAAGCCGGTCACATATGATGTAGCTTTCCGTAGGTGAAAGAATTTTTTAAATCAGTGCAATAGTTTCGAAACAAAACAAACAAAAATAATGAAATATTTTTTCTTATATATATAGACAAATGTTTCTAGACCAATAAAAGTCGGACGCATTTTGTTAATAGTGTAAAAAATGTTACCCGGCTTATGGCTCATCTAAAAATGTTCCTGTGCATGCAGTATGATCTAGTTGACAAATTGAAACACAATCTAAAGATGAATAAAGATTTAAGGTACACAAGACCCACTGTTTTCAACTATTGGAGTGCCAAAAAACTATCTAGCACATATTTTAAAAAACAGTCCCACATTGACAGATCTTTAAAACGGTATAATGAAATTTGAAACTATATCTTGTGTTTTTTTAGTGCTTTAGTTGTCATAAACAGTGGGCTTTATTGGGCGACAGTATCTTACCTCTTAGATTTCAACCTTATTGAAATAACCGACCTGATTTACGACATTTGCCTCCTCGAATTTGATGCCAGCCTTTTTGATTTTTATGCCAGCCTTGTATCAAAACAGGAAGGAAACTTCTCTTGCACTTCACAGTTATTGACAAAAATGTCAACTTCCGAATAGCATTGTCAGGAGCTCTACGGACATCTCGTTAGTTGGAAGATGTCACTATATTTCCTTGCACAATATCTTTTGTTATGGGAAAAATGTAAAACCAACAAAACATAAAGCTAAACTATAATTAGGTTGTCGTACGCACCCATTTGTTGTTATGCGTAATTTTTAGGGTTCCATAACTGACTGACCGGGTATTGAAGTTATTCATTTTTATACCTCCGTAGACGAGTGGTTCGCACACCGGTTTCAAGGTGTCGCCATCTCTAAGGTCCCGGGTTCGATTCCCGGTCTGGGTCAAGTCAATGTAGAAAATTATTTTTTCTATATTGTCTCAGGTCTGGGTGTTGTGGTACCTTCGTTGTCTCAAATACTCCATAATACGGGGGCTTTAGCTACGCATCTCGGAATCTGAGCAACGTATGCGATGTTGTTTAATATATTTATTATTTCTAATTTTAAAAATTTCTAATCTGCAGTGCGGATCAGTGGGTGTTAACGATTAACACCCACTTCTCCGCACTGGGCCTGCATATTATCCCTATTTGATTTGCTTCGATTCCATAGGCAAGGTTTGAGCCCCAGCAATCAGCACCTAATAGGATATTGATAATTTAGTGGTGGTAGTAGAGAGATGATGTTAACCGTACCACTAAATCTTGTATAAATATGTAGGGTTGAAAATGATTGTTCAACTTACGTGATAAAATATAATGTTTATTAACAACGTCCACATAAACAGTTTATACATATAATACAGAAGTTAGGAAGGAAAAGTTCAAACACAAACAGTTAATACACATGCAATAGGAAACAGACAAGCAATAACACTATAATATTAAAAGCAAAAGGCAGAATAAATATTACATGCATTCCGCGTTATAATTCGAATGACAGTCCTTTTTCGCGTCTGTCTACGCACGCATGCGCGCGGCGCGGCGTCTCGCTGGTCGCGCATGCGTGCTTATTACTCGATAGTGAGTACGCATATCGATATTAAATAGTTATAGATAATGTAGATAATTATGTTTTAGATATAGTGAATGTATATTGTAAATAAATATAAAATAAGAAATTTGTATACTATAAATAGTTAGTAGTAAATTAGAAAGTAGCCTACACCACACCCCTCCAGAGACCGTCATGGGCGATAAAAATTTGTGAAATTTACCCGGCGTCCAGAACGAGTAATGTACTCTTTTGTAATATTTGGTGAGGAATCAGCATAAATTTGATCAAACAATATGAAGGCTGCCTTAACACGGTCTATCGATACTGTAACTTCTTTAGCTTTTTGAAGAATTTTGAAAACTTTGTCACTTCTGTTTATAACTTTATATGGTCCTGAGTATGCTGGTTGCAAGGAACCGCGAGATGCATCTTCACGAAGGAACACGTGATCAGCGGTTGCCAGTTCTTTATGCACGAATACTTTATGATTACCATGTGTTGAAGTTGGTACAGGTCGTAGTTTCTCAGCAATAGTTCTCAGGCGGGCAGAGAATTCTGACAAGTCCGTAGTACCACCGGGTACAATTTCAAAAAATTCGCCAGGTAACCTTAAAGGTTCTCCGTAAACGAACTCTGCAGATGAACTTTGGAGGTCTTGTTTAAAAGCAGTTTTGATGCCTAGCAATACCCATGGCAAGGATTCCGTCCATCTGTCATTGGCGTGGCAGACTATTGCGGCTTTGAGTTGACGGTGGAAACGTTCCACCAAACCGTTGCATGCAGGATGGTATGCAGTAGTCCGCTTGTGTTCGAAACCGGCTGTTTTAGACAGACTTGCGAATAGAGCCGACTCAAATTGACGGCCGCGGTCAGTAGTAATAGCTGTAGGGCAACCGAAACGAGCAATCCACGTGGATAGTAAAGCTTTAGCCACTGTCTCTGCTGTGATGTCTTCTATCGGCACTGCTTCCGGCCATCTGGTAAACCGATCTACTGCTGTCAAGCAATACCGATAACCTTGCGAGATAGGTAAGGGACCTATCAGATCTATGTGGATCTGCTTGAATCGAACGCGAGGTAGTGCGAAAGTACCTAAAGGTGTACTTACATGACGAGAGATCTTGGCTTTTTGGCACGACAAGCAGGCGCGTGCCCACTCTCTGCAATTTTTCCTTATCCCGGGCCAGACAAAACGTTCTGCAACTAATTTTGCGGAAGCGTTGGCGTTGGAACCAGGGTGACTTAGAGAATGCAGGCTCTCGAACACCTGTCTGCGAAAGACATGAGGTACGAATGGCCGACTTGTTGGCGTGCTACTGTCACAATATAGTGGCAAATTACTACCAGGAATATGCATTTTCTCTAATTGGAGAGATGTACCTTCAGTTAGTAGTTGCTGAAGTTCCGGGTCAGATGTTTGTCCTTGAGCTAAAATTTAAATAATTATTATTTAAAAGCTACAAATTCACCGTCAAAACAATATAAATACACATAAAAATACAATAGGTAATATATATTATACATGTATAACGTCAGTTTACGCATACTATGTATATTTGCTTTACTAGGGATGAAACTTAACCAAACGAGACAAAATGCTCTCAGACGTTACTACCGAACTCTTAAAGCTTTTAAAGAACCCAACGATAAGAGGGGCCAAACCTCTTGTCCAACCTTCAATTTATGTTTCCGTTCCTCCATTGCAATCGCTTAGTGTAAATTTACTTGGTCTCATTCCTGTATCGATTAGTTTTGTGTGACGTAACTCTGAATGTTCAGGTGGATGGTTGTGGTTTTTTTTTAATTAAAGAAGGTCGAGGGTCTTTCAAAAAAGGATAATTTCTATAGCTTTACGCATAAATTGCTATGTATCAAAATTTACCTGGATTGATGCGTGGGTAAAGGGTTGATTTATAAGAATCCCTTTTTTTCCTTATTATAGTATAGCGAAAAATTAATGAATACTGCAAAGGTTATGGGAAAATTTTCATATTTATAAGATTGGGAAATCTGTTGTGTTACCTCATTTGTATCTAATTCAGGTTGATTTACGTTTTTGAAGCATAATGCTTAACAATATTTAAATGACATAGGAGGACAGACATATAATAGAAAATGATGTTCATGTATGTTATCAATTCAGTACTGAAATTGTTTATATTAATAAAATTATAGATACGTACTGATTATGTTTCTCCAGAAAACCTCTAAAAATAATATAAAAAAATCAATAATGTGTTACAAATTACATAATATAAATTACATCTTGTAAATACTAACGTAAATTACTTCATAACATGTATAATATTATTATTATTAAAAACAATATCGATGACCTGATGATTCATTGATTTTGTATAACACTTCTTCATTCACTGGAATCCTAGACTGATTTATTAGAATTCCAGCTAAATTCGTTACACATTTGCCTAAACAATTTATTAAAAAATTACAAGATTTTCGTTAAATTATTCGATTAAAATCCATGTTGGCTAATTTTGTGTGAAATTCTCAAACGTAAAGGTTGTATTACTTTTTTATTGGTTTCAAACAATCACACAATGAAAACAGAGTTGTTTTTAGTGAGTATAATTTTCGATTAAACATTTCGATGAATAAATAGAAATTATTAAATAAAATAGAATTGATAGATCTAATATTGATATTAATAATAATTGATATACATTTCAATCATGCAGTTTTAGAATAAGTTAATAATAATATTATTCTCTAATTTTCAGTTGCTTGTGTTATGCATTTTAACTATAAATGGACAAACAAAAAAACGCAATAAGACTACAACTGAATCATACCATTACATAACAAATTGGTCAGCATATAAAATGCCTGAAAAAGTTAAAACAGAACATCTTAAAGATATTCTTAGTAAAGTTGCCAAATTTAAGAGACTAGAATTTTGCCCGTTTGAAAATGTAACGATGTGTGAAAAAAGCGATTACAAAAAGATCGTTAGCGAGATAATAATAAATGCCGTTGCCAATGTCACGGACGAAGATGAAGCAAAAAAGAATCTGCGTAATGATTTAAACTTTTTCTCTTGGTTGTTGGATAATAAGAAAGAAACAAATGAAAACGAAGACCATATAGAATCATCAGAGTCAGTGTCAATTGAAGATTTCAATGATTCAGTGGAACAAATGAATAATAAGCAATTAATATTATCTAATATAAATTCACCTGATACCCTATTGATCACTAATAAGGCTAAACCTAAGGCCATGTTACAACTCAAATATACAATATTTAAATAAAGGAGTTTCTTAATTTATTGTTGAAATACAGGAAAATTTTTTTAGAACAATTTTTTTCTGTTATTGTTATTTGAGCATAAAAAAATGTTTTTGAAAATATATTTTTAAACATTTGATATCAAAATTCAATAACAGTAAAGCGCGATAGACATATTTTTTTGATGTTAAATTAAGAAAAGAGGGAAATACGTGCACCTTAGCCCATGCTAGAATCTTGTTTGACAATACCAACAGCCCGTAAGGCCGCTTATTTTGTCGAATATTATGATTTAGCTTAACGAACATAGTATAAAATTATGTGCACTGATTAGAGATTTTTCCTGTATAAACTTACTGACGAATGGAACTCATTCAGAAGATTTCAGTATATTGTGCGTGTATTTTGCAATCGTTATTTAGTTTAGTAATAATTCAGTAAAGCATGACGGTGATGATTGAACAAGCTTGATAAGTTGATATTAATGGATGTTTCCTGAGATAGGTATTATTGATCAAATCCCGTGACTCTTTTCACTGCTAGTTAAAAATCTAAATTAAACTACAAATCAATGAGTGATTCGTTTATGGTCGATAATTTATTACGTGCTTTATTTTGGATTTTATAATTGAAGTCAGAGAAAGTTTATTACCGGTCGCTAACTTCTTAGTTTTCGCTATCATCATCAACCTATTAATATCCCCACTATAGGGCTTACATATGGATTGAATCGAAACGACTAGGGAGAGTGTGCCTTCACTCACCACGTGGCCCCTGTGCGGATTGGTGGGTGCATACAGCCGGAACCAACGGCTTAACTTGCCTTCCGTAGCACGATGTGAAAGTTGCCTAATTTTCGCATCGTAGGCTGAAATCGCTAACCTCTGCACCATCGAGAAACCATTATATTATTATGTGATTATACTAACAGCTTATTATTTAAATCAATACAAACTGTTTCAACAGTATAACCATCGAGATATATTTTACTACTTGTCCAATGAATAAAGTTGGTATAAAATAAATAGGTTTCTAAACAGAAAGTAAAATAAAAGACGTTTTATCATATTACATAATAGTACACACCGAAGAAAAACATATTTCGTTTCATATTCCATGATTGCTATTATTACCCAAGGGTAGCAAAATCAACGTATAGTAGGAATCACGCCGTCTAAGCAATATTTCCAGACGACGCTTCTCGAAATATAGGAGCGAAAATACTAGTAGGGATTTTGGGAGACATTTTCTTTTCGGTGAAAAGCTTAATTATTTCAACGTACCTGATTTTGCATTTTATCGTGTTTACAAAATTTATATCCTCCTTTTCTCTTTAGTCTTCTTTATTATTATTCCATGAAATTTAGTGTCTTTTTAAAATTCCTTGTGGTTGCTGTCGTTAAATAATTATTTACAATAAAGAAGAGCTGCCAAATATTCTAAATAACAGTTCTATACCTCTTTAATTGTAAAGTCATTTGTCCTATTTAAGTTCATTATTTATTCATTTTTTATGAACTAAAGTAAGACATACATATAAGACAAGATCTTCAACTGCCTAAAGTGTCAATACACGACCCAGTTCATGTGTGTTGCAATAGATTTAATACAAAAAAAACTTATCAAAACATAAGATAATTTTCTTGGTAAGCACCGATGGCGAATTTCCTTTGAGTATTATTTATAGGTAAAACAACAATGTTTTTTGACAATTGAATTTATTTTTTAATGGGTCAGTCTAATATTTTCGTCAGTTTTTAAAATCGATGATATTTATTAAATCAGTGTAAAGAGATAATAAGAAAAGGAAAATGCTGACTTACCAGATATCCTTTTGATGTGTAGTTGCGTCGCGAAATTGTTTCCCATTTGGGACACGTAACTGTCCTTCTTGCTGGACAGCTGTATGCTGAAGCCGTCAGATTCTAACGAGGCTCTAGGTGCCCTCGCGGCCTGCACGGCCTTGTTGCAGACCGGCGTAGGCGCAACCTTCGCTAGTGCCGCCTCCTGAGAGCCGGCACTGCCACGCCGGCGGCTCTTGTGATCGAGCAACATGCTCGGTGTACACCCCATGTTCACATTGGCACTACACTTTGGCACAAAAACTCACATTGCATTTGATTTTCATGTTTTGGTTACCTGTAACAAGAGTTATATTTCAGTGTATTATATTTTTTATTTAGTTTAATGTTTTACAGAAAATTAAAATAGTTGAATTAAAAAAATTAGAAGAATCAGAGTGCTACCATATTTTGTTGATAGTTATATTTTTTATCTTATAGTTGTTGTTGGAATATTGAAACTGTCAACAAAACCAGGAAATTAAAGATTTACGGATACACTTATTTCAAAGTGTTACAAAATTAAATTCATTTTGTGCATATTGATTTATATTTTTAAATCTATTAAACAAGCTAACCCAGCGAAACCTAATTCGCTTTTAAAGAAAACTATACGCATACAACATAAATATATTGTATTTACGGTTTTTTATTTAATGGTGAAAGAAAAGTGTTTATATTACTATTTTCCTCTCAGTTTTTCTATTTCTGTCCATAAGAAACTTCACAAATTTTTCAAATATTGAAACAAATATCTGATTACGTTCTGCCGTTCTCGAGTTTTGTGCTTCGCCATGCATTTGGCGATTCACTTAAATAAAACGATATTATGAGGTAAAGGAATATCTATGTCATAATACAGCAATAATATATATATATATTTATTTATGGTTGACTTGATTTTTTTTCTATTCTCTAGCATATCAGGAAGTCTCGCTAAGTTTTTTTTTGGCGATAGACTTAAAAGCTATTTCTTTAAATGACGGATTTATTTAATTGATTAAGAATATTTTGTAACCTTCTTATCATTGCGCCTAGTGCCTTTATTAACATTGTTTTTTTTTAATGCTGTATTGTATGCAATAAAGTATATTTAACTCTTTTATTAAAGAGTGCTGTCGTTAAATAATTATTTACAATAAAGAAGAGTTTAAATAACCTTTATTCGTTTAAATAACGCTTCGAAATACTCAAGCTCGTAATACAATGCAACGATATTGATATTTTCAATCTCATCCTCAGATTATCTCTTCTGGATTGAAAATTGCTCTGCAATCAAAACCATGTGTTTATTTGCGTCGACGTAATCCGCGGGAATCGGTAATACCGCCGAGATTGGATTTCCGCGCGAAAGGAGATAAATAAACAATTACAGACAATAGTGAAATGGTGCCTCGCCGTTTGAATAAATCATCGAATTAAAGTAAACAGAGTTTAAGCGCGTTTTTTGGGATTATCTTACCTGTGATTTTCGATAATTGTTTGCCATTTGTTGACGTGCGATTTTTTATTATTATACGAATACGAATTTATACTTATAATTATTTTTTAATCAATTTTAAATTCACAATGCTATATTGATAAAAATGATTAAAAAACTCACTTCCCAGGCACCCTGAGTCCCATTCTGCGTTACAGATAATAAAAAAATAAATATTGAACATCATTGCTCAGATTCCAAGATGAGTAGCTAAAGCCCTCATATTATGGAGTATCTGAGACAACCAAGGTGCTTACCATGGTTGTCTTAGATACCAACGACCAGACGCGAGACAATATAGAAAAGTTAATTTTCTACATTGCCTCTATCGGGAATCGAATCCGGGACCTTAGAGATGGCAAGACCTTGAAAACGACGTGCGAACCACTCGGCTGCGGAGATCGTTAAAGATAGATAGATAGAGAGATAGATAAATGCTTTATTGAACCACTACTATCACATCATTATAAGTTGTTGTAAAATACTTAGTTGGTGTATAGAAACATTAAAAATTACAATAGACAACGATTTGTATCACCGTACTAGAGTGTGAAGCAGTAGCTCAAGAGGTATACAGCTCAGTGTTGGATGTTCCATATATGAAACAGACACTGATTTTCAGCTGTACCCAAGTCGCCGTTTGGTCGCTAGCGTAAAATCAAAGTGAATGTGGAGTGAGAGTACCTACAGTGTAATTCCAAAGTATTATATAAATAATTTAATGTAATCAATATAAACAATAATAGATAAATATTATTACACTAAATACGAAATAAAAAAATCTTAATAAACATTTACTAGACCTAATATTTGCCTCTGTAGATACTCTACCTCACAGAAGTGCTCTACCTTCAGTTTCTTCATGAAAGATCCCTTACACAAAAGTCTAAGTGGGGTTGGGATGTTGTTGTTTAAAGATAATTAATTATCATAAATATTTTAAACAGGCTATTTCTGAATGTTGGTATTTCTTGCAAATGTTTTCTTAATAATATACTAATAAGTGTTAATTGTATTTGTTAAATAAAATCATTAATATTTAACAAAACATTTGTATTTTATTTTTATAATTTTTTGACAACATCAAGTCTTAATTTATTTTTCTATATATATATTTTAATCATAGACAATCCGTAGGTATAAAACCTTAACATACCGCCCACCAAGGACAAATTTAATTTGTCCTTCCAAACAACGTATATCAAAATAAAAGTGATAAAATAAAATCAAAATAAAATCATTAATTTTTAACAAAACATTTGTATTTTATTTTTATAATTTTTTGACAACATCAAGTCTTAATTTATTTTTCTATATATATATTTTAATCATAGACAATCCGTAGGTATAAAACCTTAACAGTATTGAATATGTACACTTATGGTATTACTAGATGGTGTAAAGTAGTGTATCTTCGCCTTTGTCATTCTCTTTTCGCTTTATTAATAGGTAAAGCGAAAAGTAGTAGATGATTTTCAAGGTCTTTATTGTGTACGAACTTTTTTAACGTGTCTTTCGAAGACATTGGATCTGCTCGCTAAATGTCTAATTTTTATATCTATTGTAATCCCCTTCAATTTGACATTTGAACTTGAACTTGAACTTGAATTAGAACTATTAGACATTCGAGCGTTTGCGATCGCGAACTGTTTTGAAAGACATTGAATAAACGATATCGTTAATTGTAATTGTTTTCAACAAC